CTCATGTTATTGTTTATTTTAAACACTAAAAAGTATTTTATTATTTTATATTCATCATAAATTATACTTCGTAGAAATTTAAAATATAAATATTGTTACTATTTTAGTATTAAATAAATTTTAACATATTCAATTACATTTTATATTCTCCTTCAATTATATTTTCATTTTCAATTTAATATATCCAAATATATAACTGAGTAATATATTACTATTTGAAATTATTTTATAAAAATATGGTATCAATATCCATGTATAAAATTACGGGAAAAGTGTAAAAATTTCTATGTAAACTTACATTTAAATCGATGTCCATTAATTAACCGAATGATTAAAGACGTTGTCTCATATTATGTATGTTCGAATCTCAATATTTATCTGAAAATATAATATCCCCTAATTTAATTTTAAAAAAAACTTCATTTAAGCCTTCAAACCATGTCAACCCATCGCCTAAGACATAACATAACAAAATATGGCGAAATGGACCACCTGAGAAACCAGTGTTGTGCAATGCATGTGGTTCGAGGTACAGATTAGGGAAACCCCCGGAGAACTATGCACCCAAGGTCTTCAAACTTTCTCCAAAGAAGAGACGAAAAGAAGTTACTCATCCCAGCAACTCATCATCTGGTTTGGCTGGATGTAATTCAAGTTCTGAGTCCTCAGCTTCACGCCACCCGAACCGTGTTACCGTAAAACAAGAGATTCTCAATGATTATCCGGCTTACTCATTCGCATGTCTCTTTATCTGTACCCTTCTATTTAGTTAGAAGAATCTACAACGATGGGTTTAGGATCAAATATTAGAAGAGATCGATTATTAAAGCCTAAAACAATAGATATCGGTTAAACATTTAATCTTATAATTTTAAGAGATAAAAGTTTAATTTAAATAAAATTTAAACTAATAAGGACCTAAAATGTTATTAGACCATAAATTTTGAGAGAAACTTTGAGCCCCTCCCACTGCCCTCAAGTATAAACATGTCTTTATAGTGTTTGGCCAAAAAATATTTGTAAAGAAGAATAAGAAACAAAATAATTATTTTGTAACAGTCCAAAATGTATTATTTGTTAAAAGATATGTTTAATTAAATAATATGATATTAATTTAAAATATGATATAATACTTTTAAGTGGCGTGATACTTTCATTCAACTCATTGTAGTTTAATTTGAACCATTATACTTGATCGGTGAATAGAGAATAAAATTAAGAGTAAAGTATATAAATGGTCACTAAACTTTTTAGATACTTGCATTTAGGTCTCTCAACTTTTAAAACTTGCAATACAATCACCAAACATTTAGTTCGTTTGCAATATGGTCCCAACGTAACAGCCGTTTCACTACCATTAGGGTAAATTATATAAATGGTCACTAAACTTTTCAGGTGCTTGCATTTAGGTCCAACCAACTTTTAAAACTTAAAACATAGCCATTAATTACATTCTAAACCCCAAATTCCAAAATTCTTCAATTATATTCTAAACCTCAAATCCAAAAATACTTCAATTACATGCCCAATCCCAAATTCATAATCTATTCTCAAAATTTGCCATAACAAACTGAACTTAAAGCAGCAACTCTAAACCCTCAAAACATAACCCTAAATGCTAAATTTCCCCACCAATTAACCCAACATAATCAACAACATTTAGTTCATTTTGGGTCCATAACAATAAGTGATTATGTTGGGTTTAGTATTTAAAAGTTAGATTTAACCAACTATAAGTGAGCAATACTTAGTTCGATTCGAAAAAAGTATTTTTCGACTTGAATTGAATTAAATTTTTTTATACAAATTGACTTTGAATTGTAATTTCATAAACTCAACTTAAAAAAATTTCAAGTTAAAATCGAGTTGTAAAATACAACTCGAATATCTCAAAATTTTTAGTAATTAGTGGATTAATTTTTAAGTTTGAGTCAAGTCCCTTGACTCTGTATGATATATGTATATCACATATGGAAAAAAAAATATAACGAAATATATGTACTGTATATGGTTAAAAAACTATTTAAATTAGAATCAAATAATATTATAGTATTATAAATATTTATAATTAAATTTAAACAGAAACTCGAAAATTCAATTCAATTCGACTTGATTTAAATTTTATAAACTCAAATCGAAATTTTTTTGAGTCGACTATTTTGTAAATTGAACTGAATTAGAATCAAATAGTATTATAATATGATAAATATTTATAATTAAATTTAAACAGAAACTCGAAAATTCAATTCAATTCAACTTGACTTAAATTTTATAAACTCAAATCGAAAAAAAATTTGAGTCAACTATTTTATAAACTGAATTGAGTATTTAGGTCCAACATAACCGTAAACTTAAACCCAACATAATCACTTATTGTTCACTTATAGTTGGTTAAATTTTTTTGAAATGATTATGTTTTGAGGGTTTAGGGTTGCTACTTTAAGTTCGGTTTGTTATGGTAGATTTTGAGAATGAATTATGAATTTGGGGTTGGGCATGTAATTGAAGTATTTTTGGAATTTGAGGTTTAGGATTTAATTGAAGTATTTTGGAATTTGGGGTTTAGAATGTAATTGATGAATGTGTTACAAGTTTTTAAAGTTGGGGTGACCTAAATGCAAGCGCCTGAAAAGGTCAATAGCCATTTATATAATTTACCCTAACGGCAGTGAAACGACCGTTACGTCGGGACCATATTGCAAACGAACTAAATATTTGGTGGCTGTATTGTAAGTTTTAAAAGTTGGGGGAATACAAGCATCTAAAAAGTTCAATGACTATTTATATACTTTACCCTAAAATTAAATTAGATTAAATGTAGTGATTCTACTTGAGCTACCATACGTCACGTGAATATCAACATCAAGAAGCTGCAAATTCCTCCCATAGAAATTGGTCTTGGAACCATTCTTCTCAATCTCCCTCTTCCTTCTCTAGATCAGCAGGAAACTAGGGTTTTTCCTCCGAATCGTCCTTCAACAACTCCTCCACAATCGTAAACAGAAACTCAAAATTTAATTTGTTCTATTCATACAATCAATTATTTTGAATAATTCCTACTTAAAAGATCAGGGGAAGATGAATTTTGCTCTTAATAGGTATTGAACCCATAATCCAGGGGAGATAGAAAGTAACATCTGAGAGCTTTTAGTTATCTCTTTTAGAGATCGTCGACTTCATTCAATCGATTTTAAAATTTAACATTGCGAATTATATAAATCATTAGCAGCCGTTAGTTCTTGAATTCGACATTACTTTTACATATTCATATAACATGTTCATTCGATCCATTATAATTTAATGGGTATGTTTCATTTAGTGACAAGGAATTCTTCATCCTAGGTTGTTTTTGTTGTAATCGGAAGCAAAGAAGGGGTTGGCAATGGCGTGCAATATGGGTTAATGATCTTTATGCTTGATAATCTCTACAGCTCATGTGAGCCATGCCTCTAATTATTTCCGATAATGAACTTACACGCCAATAGGGTCCCCTTTGGATTGGGGTATCCATTATTTTCGGTTTTGTATAGTTTATATCTGTTTGATAGAACGATCAAATAATTTAAATAAAATTTCGAGTTAAAATCTTATTAGTTCACAAATAATTTTACAAATAAATTAGAAAAACATAACTCATTTTATTCTTTGTTCAAAGATTCAAGTTCAACCTTATTACACTCTTGAAAAAATTGGACCCTTGTAGGGGTGTAAACGAGCCGAGTCGAGTTCGAGTATTGCTAAGCTCGACTCGACTCGAAAACTCTGAAATGAAGCTCGACTCGACTTGAAAGCTCGCGAGCTTAAAATTTTCAAGCTCGACTCGAACTCGAAATCCTGAACTAGAGCTCGTGAGCAGCTCGAAAAGGCTCGAAATGAAAAAAAAAATCTTAAACATAACTCGATTGAAGCCTTAAACTTGAATCTGAACCTTAAATACATGAAAATCTTACTGCATTTTAAAAAAAAATCAATACATAAATGTTAATATTATTAATAATTTATTTAAAAAAATCTTAATATATTATATTTTCGAGCTGCTCACGAGCTTTTCGAGTCGAATATCAAGTAGCTCGTTCCAGCTCATTAAGAACTCGAGTCGAGCTCGAATTGAGTCCATTCGATCCAAGTATTTATCGAGCCTTGATCGAATCGATCTCAAGTAACTCACGATCTGTCTCTCATTTATAACCCTGGACCCTTGGATTTCTTCAACAAATAGGGGGGAAACGTACAAATTAATGGGTATGAAATTACATAATCTTGGATAATATATTTTATATACACCACGCTGCATGTTTATTTAGCAACACAATATTTTAAATTCGTAATGCAACATTTTAATATTAATATAAATTAATATTTAAAATTTTAAAATATTTGATAGTTTATAATAAAATAACTTAATTAATTATTGATTAGTCTAGCAAAATAATGTATTAAATTCGTTAAGTAAGATCAAAGATTTCTATCGTACCCGACCCAACACAAAGAGGGAAATATTATTATAATTATCTCTAAATATATAAAAGATAATTAAACTATTATATATTTTCACTCAAAATCTGACTTGATATGACCTGAACCCTAATTAAAAAATCAATTATATAATTAGGATTTTTTAATTAAAAGAAAAAGAAAAGGATTTATTTTTAAAGTTTCAAATATAACTATGAAAGTTTACACTTTATTGGAGTAGAAGGACTGGTGGCATAATTTTACCTATATCCCATCATTATCTCTCCCAAATTCCCTTCTGGTCATCTTCTTCTCATAGGAAGAAGGGCTTAAAATGAATGGGGCCCTCTTTCGAGAATGCATTTATGTAGAGGTAGTTGTAGAGATATCTGCGCTTAATTATTGTGAACTCTTCAAGAACGTGCCAAGATCCATAATGATTTTCACTCAAATCACATATATATTTTTAAAATTGCATTTTTTGTCCTACAATAAAAGTAAAAAGAAGAAGAGCACTATAAATCCAGTAGAGAAATGACAAACCACATGCAAATTTTTGGTTAAGAGTTGACACATTGGCTTCTCTATCCAAGAAAGCTGTCAGCTTTATAGCTGCTGAGCCCTCCGCCGCTTCTTAAATCCCTCAGCCCTTTTTCTTTTTCACATATATATATATATTCGTCTTCCTCCTTGAAGGCACTGTTTTGTTGATAATTACTGTTAGTACTTATCATACTAAACAATGGGTTTTGCTTTCTTATTTCAACTGCTGCTGTTATCTGCATTTTCCATTGGGGTTTCTAAAGGCCAGCTTTCAGTGGGGTTTTATGCAAACACCTGCCCAAATGCCGAGTCCATTGTCTCGAGCGTTGTCCGGAATGCTGCTCAATCGAGCTCCAACATCCCTCCCGTCTTACTCAGGCTCCATTTTCATGACTGTTTTGTTGAGGTTTTTCTTCCCTTTCTACACTCTGTTGTCTTTCATCATCCCATTCATGTTGAAATCAGTGGGAGCTGATGTAACATGATATGTGTTTTCAGGGTTGTGATGGTTCGATTCTGATAGAAAATGGTCCGAATGCTGAGAGACACGCGTTTGGTCACCAGGGAGTTGGGGGATTTGAAGTTATAGAACAAGCCAAAGCTCAGCTGGAAACTACATGTCCAGGAGTTGTTTCTTGTGCTGATATAGTTGCTTTAGCAGCTCGAGATGCTATAGTTTTGGTATAAAATGCATGCATACACTTGGTTTCAGTGATGTATGCTATTATGTCTATGTTTAATCCTTGGTTCTATGTATGTATGACATGAAGGCAAATGGACCATCATATGATGTACCGACAGGCCGTCGAGATGGAAGGGTTTCGGATGTTTCGCTGGCGGCTAACATGCCAGATGTTAGTGACTCAATCCAACTACTCAAGGATAAGTTTCATCAGAAAGGCCTCTCAGAGAAAGACCTTGTGCTTCTCAGCTGTAAATTACCCCATTCTCCCTCTTTCTCTCTCTGTCTCATGCATGTTTGATGGCATCATTGTTGCAGTAGGAACTCAACTAATATATCATGACTTACTCATACACACGTACAGGTTCTAGACGGATGCAAGATTTTATGTCATGAGTACAAACTTAAGAAGTTATATTAGAAACTCGGGAGATATAAAATTAGATTATCAATAGAAGAAACAAAGAAAATGCATGAACAATATAGTCTTACTCTAGGCTCTAGCACTTTGTTGAATGTGCCAAATAAATGGTCCTCCCATGCGAGCATCTAATGCTATTTTTGTTTTTTCTTTGGCCAATGAAAATGCATGCAGCGGCACATACAATTGGGACGACAGCTTGTTTTTTCATGACCAAAAGGCTTTACAATTTCTCACCTGGTGGGGGGATCAGATCCTGCAATAAGCCCTGATTTTTTGCCGGAACTGAAATCCATTTGTCCTCAGGATGGAGACGTTAATGTCAGACTGCCAATGGATCGAGGCAGCGAGCAATCGTTCGATAAACAGATATTGGACAACGTTCGGAACGGTTTTGCGGTGCTGGAATCCGATGCCAGGCTATACGACGATGACTCCACCAGGACGGTGGCTGACTCCTATTTTGGATTCCTCAGTCCAATTTTTGGACCCTCTTTTGAAGCAGATTTTGTTGACTCCATTGTGAAGATGGGGCGGATTGGGGTGAAAACAGGGTCTAAAGGAGAAATCAGGCGTGTTTGTACAGCTTTCAATTGAATCAAAATCATACTACAGATAGTTTGTCTTTGTTTGATATGATACCATAAATATCACCACAGATTGGTTAACTTCCCTTGGAATAAAATGCATTAATTGATGTGTACATTTTGCCATTTTACTTCATGTCAAAAAAAGAAAAAAAATACTTCATATCCAATGTGTTTTGCTCTGTTTATTGTATGGTCTCAAAATTGAAAAATGGATTGAGTATTGCAAAGATACACTGATAGTACATCAAAGATGATTATCAATCCTAATTTGCATCCCAATAAGCTACTAATTTTAAATTTGTATCCAAATAACCAAGCCGGTTTACAAAGTCCACAGGCAACGGTGTCAAGGGAAAAACTAGTAGGCTAAAAGGTACAAATTAGTCTCATTACAAGCACCCAACACGGTAATGAAGTGAAAGCAGTGTATGTACCAGAATAAGCCGGTGCTAAAGGATTACACCACAAAGATACTGAACAATCCTCAAAACTATATGGCACCAAAACATTCACAAAGTCAGCACTCAGCAGATTGCTAGCCACTTGCAGACATTCCTGTAACAGCAATAAAGCTCGACTATGAAAACTGCTCGAAAGAATTTACCATTACATGTCGGTATTTTTCAGCCTGCACACCTGCACCGTAATGCAAACCAAAGACCAAACATTGGTGTTGGTTTATTTCAATTTTGGGAAACTTTGCCAATGGACTCGATTAATCCCAAACCAATGATCTAGCTCTCTCTCCCTATAGTTTGTTTTGCATATATAATGAGAGCCTAAAATTTGCCATCCGTTAAGTTTCTGGGATTGAGAAACTGAAAATCTCGTTCTAATTCATGCATAACTCATATTTCAGAAATTAGTCTTTTTTCCTGACAAAATGATCACTATAAACTTGTCCATTGCAATTATTGACGGAAATAACTTGCCTGTAACTAGTTGGACCTTGACCTTGATCTGTGTATGGGCAAGCCAAAGATGCAAAAAGAAGAATGAGCACAAAGGGAGAGAAAACTGCTACTTAAATAAAAGATAATATAGCAAACTTCAAAACATACACATACTTGGATAATCTGGAAGGTGAAGGTGACCTTGATTTTGATGCAGACCTGGATAAAGAAAAGAATCAGGCTAACCATGATAAAGAAGATAGCTACAGAAATTAAGGTTATGACTATGCTTACGCAAGAGAATGAGATTTTTTGGGTGTTAATCTCTCAATTTTTGTGTATGAGGGGAGACCTACACACAGGAGAAGACAGAAGCAAAAGACCAATAAAATTTATAGGTACCTTTATTTGCCTCTTGGACTCCTACTGTGATATCTACTCCTGCTTCGACCCCTGCGAGGACTGCCCTCATAGCATTTCACCTGAAATAACAATTGCAAGTTCCTATAAAATGTATTTTTAAAGTGAAATTAAAATGAAAAATGAAATTCCCTCCGCCTCAATAAATAAGGGTATTTTCTTTTCTATCAAAGACGAAATTGTTTATTCATGCATACCATCACCAGCAGAAACCCCAGCCACCACCCAAAAAAAAAAGAATTATATATTCAAGTGAATCTGTTAAAACATGAGCAATCACTTGTACAAAAGTCAACTTAAAAAATGATTCGTTACATATTTCCTTCTTCAGTCAAAACCTTAAAACATGGACAGAAAACACTTAACAAAGCCCAAACCACATAACTCTGCGACTAAAAAGGGGTTAACCTGACATATGCCCTTGCAAAAGGATTTCGAAATTCAGAATCATCAAGTTCCCTTATCTGTGCAACAAGGAAATCAAAAGCAAGGTAAGTAAAATAATCAAGAACCACATGTCACGAACAAATCAAATCCATTGATTCCAATAAACACACCGCATATTTCATGTCATCATAATTTGTGTAGTCCACAATACCGATGGCTCCTACAAGAGGAAAAATTATAGTTAAACAAATTTGGACGCCTAAACATATAAAATAAAATGCAGAAACAGATAGATATGATTGGTATAACATGAAAATAGTAAGTGAACCTAATCAGATCGCATACCATCACCTTCCTGATAAACTTCAGCAAAGCATACATCTCCAGCATTGCGCATGTGATCCTAAAATAAATCCATGATAGTGCAACTTTTCAGCTCCATATGAGAAGAGCCTTAATTTAGAAGAAGTTGGAATAACCTCACCTTCAGATCTTGCCGAGAAGCAGAAGGCAGTCCGTGAACAACAACTAAATCATAGTGAATGAAAACAATGTCAATATGGTACAATACAGGGGAAAAGTAAAACAGACAGACAATAGAAATACATAAAGACTGAAACAGCAACATGAACTTTAAAAAAATGTATATATGTTTCACCTCGAAACTCAGACCGATGAGAAGCACCAATCGTCCTCTACCAGCTCTGCCACCACTGCCGCTACCATATTCACATCGAGAAGATTGCCCTCTACCACAATGGGCAAGTTCAACCTGCTTCAAGGGAAAGATAAGAATCCATCTAGAGAACAATAGCTAAATAATAGTATACTAGTTAATAGGAAATCACCCTGATACGACACCCGTCAAAATTATAGCCATCTCGACCCTTAATTCCATCTTCAGCATCCAAAGGGTCCTCAAACTGCAAATATGACTAGCTTAGAAACAGGCAGTAAAACAAGGTCAGAAAATGTGCTCAAAAAGTAAGTCTTGATGTAAGATACATACCTCCACAAAACAGTAACCAGGGGGCGGGGAGGAAACTTCAACTCTATATCCAAAATTCATCCATACTGTAGTCCACAATGGTCATATTAAAAGCGCCCAAAGACCAATGTTCTAGGAACAGCAGGAAGATGATAGAAAAAGAAAAAAATAATCTACTACTACTAGAACTTTTCAAGTGCAGAAAATAATCAGCCATACAAAACGAGATTTGAAGTTCCAAAATGTGAAAATCATGCATAAAGCAGCACTTAACACAGAATTGCAGCATTTCTTTATCAGAAAAAAAAAATTATCCTTCAAAAAGACAAATGAAGCAGTGAATAAAATTTCAAGTAAATAAATCTTACATGTTTTAGTATCATGCTTTGGAAGCTTTAAGAATCGTGTAAAAGATAACAGAAGAAAATTCCAACTAAAGCGCCTAACACAGGTGACCAAGAAAATACGAAGCAATTTGACCAGAACAAACAGAATCAGTATATGGTACTCTCATTTTGTCTCTTTGATTTAGTAATACACAAAACAAAAACAAAAAAGACTAGATGACACAAACCTTACAGAAAAGGTCTTCATTCTCCCATTCCTTGACATCTAGTGGTAGGTTACCAACATATATAGTGCGACTAGAATGACTAGCCATTTGTAGATGCAAAAGATACAATTCAGCGGGCAAAAGTCACTGAACACAAAAAGTTAATAAAGAGAGTTAATCCTTTTTTTAGGAATCACAATTTGCAATTACAGTTGGAACCTAAATTTCCTTTCCATTTATCAATGTCAGAAAGATAATAGGCAAAAAATAATGTTAAACAGACAAGAGCAACTCTCCAAGGTGGTGCTCCACAGGCTCCATTGCACTTGTGCTCCAAGATGTACAAAAACTATTAATAAATAATAATTTGAACTCCTAATCCATTGCTTGACTTTTCCAGTGGGATGGTGATCAATTCGGAGGGATCAAGAACCTCCATTTACCAAAATACCCATTATTCCAATATGACTCCTTTGTCCCCATTTCTAGATCCTTATGTATAATCTGAAAGCTCCTCTCATCTATCATACAGAAAGTGTTTTTCAGTTATGAAACATGATGAAATTGATAAGATATACTGCATTCTGTTGAAGCTAGTTAAATAAGATCAACACGCCAAATTAACAAGACAAATATTTATGGGCCAAAAAATTAAGTACAGCCGATCAAGTGTGAAGTCAATCCCATTGACACCTCCTTTTTAAGGAATTCTTAATTTCTAATGCTGGTTGGGAGATAGAAAGCCATAAACCATCTGAACTATTTCAATTCTGTTAACAAATTAATAAAATGAGTAAAAAAAAAACAAACCACAAATTCCTTTTGAAAAATAATTTTCAAAACAATGAAAATTATTACTGTTAGGTGAGTTAGAATTTCATATTGGCAAAATCTAGCTCCCAACACTTAACAATTAAATAACAAAAGCAACTCGGCAAGCAAATTCTCCGGAGTGAGGCTTACTTAAAGTAACCTAAAAGAAACCCTTGCTTGAACTAGAATTCTTTTACCTTCAACCTACATTGGAGAATCAATGTCAAGGGTTCAACTCCATTATCCCCAACTTTATTCAAACGTTTCAAAAATAAAACACATGCAATTACAAACCCAAAAATGCTCGAAGATTCCACAAAGACAAACAGATACAAACGCAAAAAAAGTGGAGATTATACCAGAAGCTGGGAGCTATGGGCTGCAACAATCCAAAGTGTACTAAGCTCCTTTGTTTGTTGATGCCGATGAAGAGAAGGAGAGAATGCCGAATCAACAAGTTTAATTCAGTGAGGGTTTATTTATATAAAGCGGATAAAGGAGGGAAGCAACGAGACTTCATTTCGCTCATTTAATCGTTTATGTCAGTTATGTTGTCAGCTCCCAACTGGTTCCGCCACGTCATATATATTTATATATATATATATTAGAGTAAACTACACATTTAGGGTTTAAACTATAGTTATTTTCGTTTTAGTACCTAAACTTTCATTTATTTCAAAATCATATCTAACATTTATATTTTGTTTTGTCTTAATATCTTGCTGTTAAAAACTTAACGAAACTGTTATACATAAAACCTTTTTTATGAATAAATTATATTATTCATCACTCAACTATCTTCTCACTCATATTTTGGATATTGAAGTTTAAGTTTTTTAATTTAATTATTTAACTTTCAAATTACTCTTAATTTAATCATTCTAACTTTCAAATTTAATTTTTTATTTTAATTATACATTAATAAAATAAAAAAATGAAACATCAGAAAAATTATTAATAAAATAAATTAGAGTGATTAAAATAAGAGTAATTTGAAAGTTTGGTAGTTAAATTAAAAAAGTTAAACTTTAGTAACCAAAATGAAAGTGAAAAGATAATTGAGTAATGAATGAT